CTGATGGTGCATTGTCTTTGAGTTGTGCGCCTTTTGGCGTCATTTGGTCCAACACCATGTGAGACTGGGCTCTAAGAAAAGCTGTCTCTCGGGTGTGGACCAAATCAACTTCAAGGACAGTGCATACATTATCAGAGTTGTGTTTTTTGTTTGCATTCCGACTGCAGGTATTGTGGTCTATGCAAACACAACTCCTTGTAAAAAAGGTGTCAGTTTTGTTGCCAGATAAAAGGGTAAAAAAACAATTATTATATTTTTTACTGGAAAATGAGGTTCCAATGGTGACCACGCCCTCGTCACGTGGTCCCCCTTTGGTGGCTCCTCCCCCTAGCCCGGACCCGCCCTTGTTCCCGAAGGAACCTCTTACAGCACACGTGACGTGACGTGACCCTTGACTGTCAACTCGCTCGCTCCACCCTCTGTTCGCCCCTCATGGTTGCTCACACTACTCCTCTCAAGGCAGTAATTATAATGTATATGGGGGGGCACATTCCCCCAAATATTCAAATATGCTCAAAATGTCCCCCCCCCAATATATTGCCATATAATAAAATCATGTTTATTTGATCGTGGTTATGATTGTACTTTATTAATCCCAATCTCTGCCATTACATACAATGAAACAAGAAAAGGTAAAAAAGAAAAAAACAGACATTGTTGTAAAAAATAAATAAAAAGTCCATCCCATGTGTTAGTGAATTTATTAATATTTTAGGCAGGAAATTAGTTTTCAAATTTAGATATTTTTTCTGGGGGGGGGGGCACCCCCACACCCCCCGGAAGATTTGGTTCCCCCCAATGTTGACTCCATGGCTACGGCCTTGACTCCTCTACACAAATGTTGAAGCCATTCCCCGTGTTTAGTGTACATTCCGTAACAACGCGTTTGGAATCGATGGGTGATACGGTTCAGGGGTAGGCAACCCAAGGATTTCTGCGATGGGTAAGGTGGGTGTAGGAGGGGCACTCCCAGTAAATTTTGAACGTTGAGCCAACGTTCGTCCAACGGTTCTAACCACGTGTCAGCTTTGCGTTCAACATTGAGGTGTTCACTGGGTTATGACCCTGCAGGACACTGGGGAGGGTTACCAATACTTCTCACCGTGGTGAACTCAGTGGCTACCCAGACGGCTCTGCGCTAGAGTGAGGTGTTAACTACCTCGCCTGGTCTACAGGAGGTCGTGGCTTCGATGCGGCTTTTCCGTGATAGACAGAGACAAACAGGGCCGCCTCGGTGGCCTAGGAGATGTTGACTACCTCGCCTGCTCTACAGGAGGTCGTGGCTTCGATCCCGACCCTGACGCCTGCTGTGTATTTGGAGTTTGCGTCTCTCTCATCATCATCACGGTGGCTAGATGTTAACTACCTCGCCTGGTCTACAGGAGATCGTCGCTTCGATCCCGATCCTGACGCCTGTTGTATATTGGGAGTTTGCGGTGTCTCCCTCTCTCTCTCCCTCTCACCGTGGTCCCGTGGATTTGTCTCCGGCTTCCTCTCCAGGGTTTTCCCATCCACGTTGAGAATTAACAACACCACGCGTTCATGAGCATTTCGCTGCTGGAGATGAATTTCCACGCGATGGTAAGCCACTTCGTTGAGCCATCAATACTTTTGAGTGTATGTCTATTTATTTTCTCGATCAATAACCCGTACATCCCCGGCTGAAATGAAAACATAATTATATCCCATGGTGTCAGGTGCCAAACTTTGGGGTTCAAACTTCGCGGATAATATCTGTACTCTGATCCATAACCAAGGCTGGGATCAGAGGTTACAGATGGCGTTGCTGCTGCCGCTGCTGCTGCTGCTGATGTTGTTGAGGGCCTGGGTTCCACTATGAGGTTCAGCGGCAAAGCCACAGAGATGATACCGGGGTCTCGTAGACTCATCACACAGAGAGTCATGGACTCACATAGAGGCACGTAGACTCACACAGACACCCAGAGACTCACACAGACACCCACAGACTCACACAGACACCCATAGACTCACACTGAGACCCGTAGACTCAGTGAGCCAAAGAATTATATATAAATCAATAGACTCACACAGACACCCACAGACTCACACAGACACCCACAGACTCCCACAGACACCCATAGACTCACACTGAGACCCGTAGACTCACACAGACACCCATAGACTCACACTGAGACCCGTAGACTCAGTGAGCCAAAGACTTATATACAAATCAATAGACTCGCAAATACACCCATAGACTCAGACAGAGCTACAGACTCAGAGACCCACAGACTGTCACAGAGACCCATAAACTCACACAGAGAGCGAGGCTTAGATAGAGAGACACATAATCACACAAAGAGCCATAGGCTCAGACAGAGAGACACAGACTCACACAGACACCCACAGACTCACACAGAGAGCCATAGACTCAGACAGAGAGCCACATACTCACACAGAGAGCCATAGACTCACACAGAGAGAAAAACTCACACGGAGAACCACAGACTCACACAGAGAGCCATAGACTCAAAAAGCGAGCCACAGACTCACATAGCGACCCACAGACGCACACAGAGAGCCACAGAATCACACTGAGACCTATAGACTCACATATATATCCATCGACTTTTATAGGGACCCATAGACTCGCACAGAGACATATAGACTCATATAGAAAGCCACAGATTCACACAGAGAGCCACAGACTCAGACAGAGAGCCACAGGCTCACACAGACACCCACAACTCACATAGCGACCCACAGACTCACACAAAGAGCCACATAATCACACTGAGACCACTAGACTCACACATATATCCATGGACTTTTATAGGGACCCATAGACTCGCACAGAAACATATAGACTCAGACAATCAGCCATAAACTCATGCAGAGACCCATAGACTCACACAGACAGCCAAATACTCCCACAGAGAGCCGTAGACTCACACGGAGACCCATAGACTCACACAGAGACCCACAGACTCCTACACAGAGCCATAGGCTCACACAGAGAGCCACAGACTATTACAGAGAGCGATAGGCTCACACAGAGAGCCAGAGACTCACACAGTGAGCCATAGGGTCACAGAAATGAGTACCTGGTGCGGTGTGCAGTAAACATCGCAAACAGGGGAGACAAAGGCGGCCGGGCGTGGTGCTGGCCACCCACGCCCTCGTGTGCCGTGCCGGCCTTCATAGGTGCTCACTCAGAGGAGGAGTTGGAGGCGCTGCTTTTAAACCTGGAGCATGACTCTAAGAGGTGAGGTCTCACCATCAGCCCCTCCAAAACTAAGCACCTGCCTGGGTATTTTGTGCCATCAAACACTCCACCCCTCAACTCCTCATTTGTGGAGAGAGTGGACAGTGTTCAGTCGGGCAGCATTATATTTCATCGGCTGTGTAATGGTGTGTGGAATCTACCTGGTCTGTCGCTCCATGAGAAGCTGTGGGTCTTCTCGGCCATAGTCATCTCTGCTTATGAAACGTAGAAATTGATCATGGAACATCTGCGCCAGTTAGAATAATTCAGGATGACTTGCCTTAGATCCATTCCTGGGTTCAACCAGGCTGGATTGTGTGAGGAGCTCACAATTCCTTGACAAATCTGGACACATTCCCAACGGTGAGCTCCTCCGGCAAACAAGGCTGCATTGGCTGGGTGATGTAGCCCGCATGCCCAGCCACCGCATGTCTAGGCAGCTTTTGTTTGGTCGGAGAGGATGGGCTAAACGGGCACGACACGGGCTAGAGAAGAGATGGAGTGATGTGGTACAGGAGGACGTGGAGCTGAGTGGACTTGCCGATGACCGGTACCAGCGGTGTCAAGATCAGCCTCTGTGGAGGAGGAGGCTCGTGAAGGACGCTACTGGGCAGTTGGAGGCAGTCGCCCTCCAGCAACAACGGAGGGCGGAGGAGCGACGCTCACAACAACGAGCGGAACGCCGGGCGATAAAGCACGGCAAATTGACACAGTAGGGGGCACAGGTGGTGCTTCTATCGGTCATCATCTCAGCCAGCCAACCCATGGCACCTGGGTAGGCCCCGTAACCTCCTGCCAGCGGGGAGCAATTCGACACGTGCCGTCGAAGTGCACCTAGCCTGGCACGGGCGCCGTGGTGACGTCACTGCCACTTAGTGGCGACCGGCAGCTTCTGGTGTCAGAGGGTGCGCTGCGTGGGTCGTTGTGGGGAGCGGTGGCGCAGTGGTTAGCGCTCTGTGTGTGTGGGGAGCGGTGGTGCAGTGGTTAGCACACTGTGTGTGTGTGGGGAGCGGTGGCGCAGTGGTTAGTGCACTGTGCGTGTGTGGGGAGCGGTGGTGCAGTGGTTAGCGCACTGTGTGTGAGGGGAGCGGTGGTGCAGTGGTTAGCACACTGTGTGTGTGTGGGGAGCGGTGGTGCAGTGGTTAGCGCGTTGCGCTCCGAACCCCGCATTTCGAATCCCACTCACGGCCAACAACCATTGGCGATCAAACTCGAACCGGGTATGGGCCTCCCCTAGGTCTACCCAGCCTCAAACGCAATTTGTAAAAAAAGAAAAAAAACATCGCCATTGGGGAGACAAAGGCGGCCCGGTGTTTACTAGCTAACAGCACTTGCCCCAACAGTCTGTTCCGGCTACCCGGGGGATCTTTGTCTTCTTTTGCGGCGTCTGAACATGCTGACACCCACCGGACCCCCTCCACCCCCCACTATTAAGATGTAAATCACGTATCTTGATTGTCGTCCAAAGTTCAGCTTCGGCAGCATCAGTGAGTGCTGTGAGGGTTGCTTGCTGCTGCTACTGCTGCTGCTGTATACGCCAGGGCCGCTGTATAATCAACTCTACCCACCACGACCACCACCCCCCCCCTTCATTCATTCCAACGGAGGAGGCAGAGAGGAGCTTTGGGAGACAGAAACTTCAGCAGCATCGGTGCTGTGTGGGTTGTTTGCCGCTGCTGCTGCTGCTGTATAAGCCACGGTGGCTGCATAATCAACTCTAGCCCCCCCCACCCCCTTCATTCATTCCGTCGATTCGTTCACTAACGGAGGGGCAGAGAGGAGGCGGGGGGCAGGAGAAGCGGAGACGACTTTACACAGCAACAGGGAGCGGGAGCAGGAGGAGGATCTCATCTTCTGAGTCGACTTTGCTGGCGCCACTAACTTGGAGGTCTCCCGTAAGTTGATGTCGCCGCTTAGCGGATCGTCAGCGGGGTTCTACGCGCGCGCGCTTGCCTCGCTACGATGCACGTTGCTCCTTTTCGTAATTTTTTGCATTATTTTTCCGTTATTTTTTCTGTGAATTTTTCCATAATTTTCCTGTAATTTTCTATATTTTTCCGTAAAATTTTCCATAATTTTTTACAATTTTTTCCGTAAAATTTTCCATAATTTTTTTCCGTATTTTTCTCCCATAATTTTCTCCCCATAATTTTTTGGGCGTTAATAATCCCGCCGTGTCGATGGTGTTCGATCACGTTCGCGTGTTTCACACTCGGAGTCGTCGTATGGGAAGGCCACAGTCAGGTGAGTGACCGGGAAGATTTACGGATGTTTGTTTTTAACCCTCTCCATCAACATCGCAGTCATAACTTCATTCTATATCCACTGCTGGATGAAGGCCTCCACAAGCCTCCACCACCATCACCATCATCGTAGCAGCCATGGTCACTCCATTTTTATTTGACTTTTATTAATTTTAATTTTAATTTTTTACCTACGTGACTTTGCCAAAAAAACCTAAGAATATGGTCACTCCACAGCTGGATGAAGATCAACATGATGATGTCATTCGCCCTCCGTGTGGTCTCTAATCCGCGTGCCCCCCCTCTCTCTCTCTCTGCGTCTCTTCTTCGTTTCTGCGTGGAACTGCCAGCAGGCATCTGTGCGTGATGTGTTTGTTGTTGTTGCAAACTTCTCAGGTTGTTGTTGTCGTTGTCGAAGGAGCGTGCCTACGGCACGATGCGTCTCCTAAGATTCATAATCTTTGTAGGAATACGTAGGGAGGTGAATGATGTGATGGAGGTGATGGAGGTGTGGAGGTGATGGTAGGTGAGGGAGGTGAGGGAGGGGTGGTGAGGGAGGTGAGGTAGGTGATGTAGGTGATGGAGTGATGGAGGTGAGGGAGGGGAGGGAGGTGATGGAGGTGAAGGAGGTGATGTAGGTGATGGAGGTGAGGGAGGTGATGGAGTGATGGAGGTGAGGTAGGTGATGTAGGTGATGTAGGTGATGGAGGTGAGGGAGGTGATGGAGGTGAGGGAGGTGATGTAGGTGATGTAGGTGATGTAGGTGATGTAGGTGATGGAGGTGATGGAGTGATGGAGGTGATGTAGGTGATGTAGGTGATGTAGGTGATGTAGGTGATGTAGGTGATGTAGGTGATGGAGGTGATGGAGGTGATGGAGGTGATGTAGGTGATGTAGGTGATGTAGGTGATGGAGGTGATGTAGGTGATGTAGGTGATGTAGGTGATGGAGGTGATGTAGGTGATGTAGGTGATGTAGGTGATGGAGGTGATGGAGGTGATGTAGGTGATGTAGGTGATGTAGGTGATGGAGGTGATGTAGGTGATGTAGGTGATGGAGTGATGGAGGTGATGTAGGTGATGTAGGTGATGTAGGTGATGTAGGTGATGGAGTGATGGAGGTGAGGTAGGTGATGTAGGTGATGGAGGTGATGGAGGTGATGTAGGTGATGGAGTGATGTAGGTGATGGAGGGTGAGGAGGATGAGGGAGGTGATGGAGGTGAGGGAGGTGATGTAGGTGATGTAGGTGATGGAGGTGATGGAGTGAGGGAGGTGATGTAGGTGATGTAGGTGATGTAGGTGATGGAGGTGAAGGAGGTGATGTAGGTAATGGAGGTGAGGGAGGTGATGGAGGTGAGGGAGGTGATGTAGGTGATGTAGGTGATGGAGGTGATGGAGTGATGTAGGTGATGTAGGTGATGGAGGGTGAGGAGGATGAGGGAGGTGATGGAGGTGATGGAGTGATGGAGGTGAGGGAGGTGATGTAGGTGATGTAGGTGATGGAGGGTGAGGAGGATGAGGGAGGTGATGGAGGTGAGGGAGGTGATGTAGGTGATGTAGGTGATGTAGGTGATGTAGGTGATGGAGGGTGAGGAGGATGAGGGAGGTGATGGAGGTGAGGGGTAGTAGGCGGGGGAGCTAGAACTGAAGTCTGCGTGTCTCTCTCTCTCCGTGGTCGCGTGGATTCTTTGGCTGTTTTTCCCTCCTCCACATTTAGAATCAACGTCCACGCGTTCAGAGTTATTTGTTGGCTGCTTTCAATGTCCATTTGTGAAAGCCAGATCGATTCTGAAAAAAGATAGAGCAGCTCAGTGAACTTGAACTATGCATCTCACTGTGACTATATGGGTGTGAGTCTATGGGTTGCTGTGTGCGTCTATGGGTCTCTGTATAAGTCTATGGGTTTCTGTGTGAGTCTAAGGGTTTCTGTGTGAGTCTATGGGTCTCTGTGTGAGTCTTTGGGTTGCCGTGTGAGTCTATGGGTTTCTGTGTGCGTCTATGTGTCTCTATATGAGTCTATGGGTTTCTGTGTGAGTCTATGGGTCTCTGTGTGAGTCTTTGGGTTGCCGTGTGAGTCTATGGGTTTCTGTGTGCGTCTATGGGTCTCTGTACGCACCTATGTGTTTCTGTGTGAGTCTATGGGTTTCTGTATGAGTCTTTGGGTCTCTGTGTGAGTCTATGGGTTTCTGTGTCCGTCTATGGATCTCTGTATGAGTCTTTGGGTCTCTGTATGAGTCTAAAGTTCTCTATGTGGGTATGGATCTCAATGTGAGTCTATGCATATTTATTTGAGTCAGTGGGTTTCTGTGTGAGTCTATGGGTCTTTGTGTGAGTCTATGGGTCTCTGTATGAGTCTGTGGTTTGCTGTGTGAGTCTATGGGTATATTTGCGAGTTTGGGTCTCTATGTGAGTCTATGCATCTCCCTGTGAGGCTATAGGTTTCTCTTGCGAGTATGTGTCTCTACGTGGGTCTATGCGTCTCCCTGTGAGTTTATTAGTTTATCTTGTGAGTATGTGTCTCTATGTGAGTCTATGGGTCTCTATGTGAGTCTATGCATCTCCCTGTGAGTCTATAGGTTTCTCTTGCGAGTATGGGTCTCTATGTGAGTCTATGCGTCTCCACGTGAGTGTTATGGGGGTCCCTGTGTGAGTCGACGTGAGTTGACGTGACGACGACGGTTGACTCTGATGCGGCGTGCAGGGTTCCGCTGCGTGACTCCGTGAGACTCGTGAGGGACCGCGCGAGCCTCTCCGTCGAGCTGCCCCCCACCGCTCCTCTGTCGAGAGTCCGAGTGCCAAGGGGGCATACCAAGAGGCGACCGATGGCGTCGACGCTGGACCGATACTGCGGCTCCACTTTCTGGGTGAGGAGGCGCGCGGAAAAGGGCGGTGGCAGAGAAAGGAGGTGGGGAGGGAGCGGGGTGAAATGAAAAGAAATGAAAAGAAATGAAATGATAAAATAATTACACTTTGAAAAGAAATAAAACGGAGAAAGTAAAATAAAATAAAAATCTCAAACAATCTATATATAAAACAATCGATAAAAGCAATAGAATATATTGAAAAAAAGACAAATATATAAAATCGAATCAATAATATCTTTTAAAAAATAATAAAAATAATAAAAATAAAATTTACAGAAAATACATCAATAAAATATATTAAATTGATTGAAAATATACAAAGAAATACAAAAAATAATATATAATAAATAAACATGTATCGCACATTTCATCCCAAGGATCCCAATGTGCCCCCGAACTATGGAAAGCTGGGAGATGCCAAGGCAGATCCAGTGAGGGGGGTGGGGGGGGGGGCAGTGGGCGGAGGGGGGGCGTAGGGCAGGGGGCCCATTTTTAAAGCAGACAAAATTTTCAGGGCAACCTTTAAATATCTCTTAAAGATTCTAAATTGTCTCATCGTTATCTAGCGGTCAACGGCGTTCCATAGTCTCCATCGTCGCTGCACTCTGCGAAAGAAGCGATCGTCCCCAGGGACGGAGCCTTGCAGTAACACTCGACGCAGGAGGTCTTCAATGACAGGAGCCGTTATTTCTTCCGGCATGAGACACGCGCGGGTCTTCGGAGATTCCCTTCACTGCAAGCGTCCCGAGCTATGGCGTCCTCTCCCCACCTCCTTAAACAGGGCCTACGTTACTTACGAACTTCCAGAGATACGAAAAGATATGTCCATACGTCCAGTTGCCCGTTTGGACCGAGAGTCATAAGTGATCGCAGTGGTGGCATCTCCATCTGCAGAACGTGAAGGCGTAGTGGCATCTACATCTGCAGAACATGAAGAACCAGTGGCATCTACATCTACAAGAGATTATACAACTTTTAAAGCTATTCCCCGTGTTTAGTGTACACGCTGTACAAAGTGTTTGAAATCGACTGGAGTAAATTAGGGACTTACAAATAAATCGACTTACGAACAGACCTCTGGAACCTAACCATTTCGTACGTCGACGAGTCCCCGTATATCCCTCAAGCCCCCTGTTTCGAAAGTTATTTGACCTTCCCCTTTCCCCTCCACCCAATCACCTTCCCACTCTCTCCAGCAGGTCAACCTGACCGACCGACCCCCGTGTCAATCATCCCTCAGTTTCCCCTCCCCCTCCATGTTTGTATTTCTGCTTGCAATGTCCTTCCATCGATGTCCCCCCTGCCTCTGACCAATTCCCCCTTTCAGGGCCCTTTAAGTGAACAATCAGAGGGTGCTTTGGTTTAATACTTCCCGATCTATCTGTGTCTGCTGGGTCTCTCTGTGAGTCTATGTGTCCCTGTTTGAGTCTATTGATCTCTGTGTAAGTCTATTGATCTCTGTGTGAGTCTATGGATCTCTGTGTGTGTCTGTGGGTCTCTCTGTTAGCCTGTGGTTCTCTGTGTGAGTATATGGCTCTCTATGAGTCTTTGGCTCTCTGTATGAGTATGTGGCTCTCTGTGTGTGTCTCTGGGTCTCTGTGTGAGTCTGTGGGTCTCTGTGTGAGTCTATGTGTCTCTCAGGGAGTCTCTGTGTCTCTGTGTGAGTCTATGGGTCTCTGCCTGAGTCTATGCGACTCTGTGTGAGTCTATGGGTGTCTGTCTGAGTCTATGCGTCTCTGTGTAGTCTTTGGGTCTCTCTCTGAGTCTATGCGTCTCTGTGCGAGTCTATGGGTCTCTGTCTGAGTCTATGGGTCTCTGTGTGATTCTATGGGTCTCTGTGTGATTCTATGGGTCTCTGTGTGAGTCTATGGGTCTCTGTGTGAGTCTATGCGTCTCTGTGTGAGTCTATGGGTCTCTGTGTTAGTCTATGGGTCTCTGTGCGAGTCTATGGGTCTCTGTCTGAGTCTATGGGTCTCTGTGTGAGTCTATGGGTCTCTGTCTGAGTCTATGGGTCTCTGTGTGAGTCTATGGGTCTCTGTCTGAGTCTATGGGTCTCTGTGTGAGTCTATGGGTCTCTGTCTGAGTCTATGGGTCTCTGTGTGAGTCTATGGGTCTCTGTCTGAGTCTATGGGTCTCTGTCTGAGTCTATGGGTCTCTGTCTGAGTCTATGCGTCTCTGTCTGAGTCTATGGGTCTCTGTCTGAGTCTATGGGTCTCTGTGTGATTCTACCTATGTACGTTAAACGTCTTTCCCACTGTACGTAGCCAACCGTGCTAATCGGAGGTCGTGTTCCCACCTCCCCATTCCCTCTCTCCCATTCCTCCCCACTTCATCACCCACCTACCCACCCACCCCCACCCCACCCCATGCGTCCTCGCCTCATCAAGAACTCATCGCTGCTGGAGACGGAGACGCCCGACCTCACGGTGTGCTTCGAGCAGACGGTGCTCGTCTGGGCCCCGCTGTCGCTGCTCTGGCTGCTGGCGGCTCCCATCCAGCTGGCGAATCTGTGGGGCGTGCCGAGCGTGACACGGCCTGTCCAGCCGCGGCGATTCAGCTTCCTGTACATCGCCAAGCAGGTGACTTGTTCCCATCCCCAAGCAGGTGACCCGTTCCCATCGCCAAGCAGGTGACCCGTTCCCATCCCCAAGCAGGTGACACGTTCCCATCCCCAAGCAGGTGACACGTTCCCATCCCCAAGCAGGTGACACGTTCCCATCCCCAAGCAGGTGACACGTTCCCATCCCCACTTAGGTGACACGTTCCCATCCCCAAGCACGTGACCCGTTCCCATCGCCAAGCAGGTGACACTTTCCCGTCCCCACTCAGGTGACACGTTCCCATCGCCAAGCAGGTGACACGTTCCCATCCCCAAGCACGTGACCCGTTCCCATCCACAAGCAGGTGACACGTTCCCATCCACAAGCAGGTGACTCGTTCCCATCGCCAAGCAGGTGACACGTTCCCATCGCCAAGCAGGTGACCCGTTCCCATCCTCAAGCAGGTGAAACGTTCCCATCCCCAAGCAGGTGACACGTTCCCATCGCCAAGCAGGTGACACGTTCCCATTCCCAAGCAGGTGACCCGTTCCCATCGCCAAACAGGTGACACGTTCCCATCCCCAAGCATGTGACACGTTCCCATCCCCAAGCATGTGACACGTTCCCATCCCCAAGCAGGTGACACGTTCCCATCGCCAAGCAGGTGACACGTTCCCATCCCCAAGCAGGTGACACGTTCCCATCCCCAAGCAGGTGACACGTTCCCATCCCCAAGCAGGTGACCAGTTCCCATCTCCAAGCAGGTGACACGTTCCCATCTCCAAGCAGGTGACGCGTTCCCATCTCCAAGCAGGTGACAAGTTCCCATCTCCAAGCAGGTGACACGTTCCCATCCCCACTCAGGTGACACTTTCCCATCCCCACTCAGGTGACTCGTTCCCATCCCCACTCAGGTGACACGTTCCCATCCCCAAGCAGGTGACACGTTCCCATCGCCAAGCAGGTGACCCGTTCCCATCCCAACTCAGGTGACCCGTTCCCATCGCCACTCAGGTGACCCGTTCCCCTCCCCAAGCAGGTGACACGTTCCCATCGCCAAGCAGGTGACACGTTCCCATCGCCACTCAGGTGACACGTTCCCATCCCCAAGCAGGTGACACGTTCCCATCGCCAAGCAGGTGACACGTTCCCATCGCCAAGCAGGTGACGCGTTCCCATCGCCAAGCAGGTGACACGTTCCCTTCCCCAAGCAGGTGACACGTTCCCATCGCCAAGCAGGTGACACGTTCCCATCGCCAAGCAGGTGACACGTTCCCTTCCCCAAGCAGGTGACACGTTCCCATCCCCAAGCAGGTGACACGTTCCCATCCCCACTCAGGTGACACGTTCCCTTCCCCAAGCAGGTGACACGTTCCCATCCCCAAGCAGGTGACACGTTCCCATCCCCACTCAGGTGACACGTTCCCATCCCCAAGCAGGTGACACGTTCCCATCGCCAAGCAGGTGACACGTTCCCATCCCCAAGCACGTGACCCGTTCCCATCGCCAAGCAGGTGACACGTTCCCATCCCCAAGCAGGTGACATGTTCCCATCGCCAAGCAGGTGACACTTTCCCGTCCCCACTCAGGTGACACGTTCCCATCGCCAAGCAGGTGACCCGTTCCCATCCACAAGCAGGTGACCCGTTCCCATCGCCAAGCAGGTGACACGTTCCCATCCACAAGCAGGTGACCCGTTCCCATCGCCAAGCAAGTGACCCGTTCCCATCGCCAAGCAGGTGACCTGTTCCCATCCCCAAGCAGGTGACCCGTTCCCATCGCCACTCAGGTGACCCGTTCCCATCGCCAAGCAGGTGACCCGTTCCCATCGCCAAGCAGGTGACCCGTTCCCATCCCCAAGCAGGTGACACGTTCCCATCCCCAAGCAGGTGACACGTTCCCATCCCCAAGCAGGTGAGACGTTCCCATCCCCAAGCAGGTGACACGTTCCCATCCCCAAGTAGGTGACACGTTCCCATCCCCAAGCAGGTGACACGTTCCCATCCCCACTCAGGTGACACGTTCCCATCCCCAAGCAGGTGACACGTTCCCATCCCCAAGCAGGTGACACGTTCCCATCCCCACTCAGGTGACACGTTCCCATCCCCACTCAGGTGACACGTTCCCATCCCCACTCAGGTGACACGTCCTCTATGTGAGTCTATGGGTCTCTATACGAGTCTATGGGTCTTTGTTTGTAGGTCCTCTATGTGAGTCTATGGTGCTCTGTGTGAGTCTATGGGTCTCTCTGCGAGTCTATGGGTCTCTGTGCGAGTCTGTGGGTCTCTGCGTGAGTCTGTGGGTCTCTGCGTGAGTCTATGGGTCTCTATGTGAGTCTATGGTGCTCTGTGTGAGTCTATGGGTCTCTGTGCGAGTCTATGGGTCTCTGCGTGAGTCTGTGGGTCTCTGCGTGAGTCTATGGGTCTCTATGCGAGTCTATGGGTCTTTGTTTGTAGGTCCTCTATGTGAATCTATGGTGCTCTGTGTGAGTCTATGGGTCTCTATGCGAGTCTATGGGTCTTTGTTTGTAGGTCCTCTATGTGAGTCTATGGTGCTCTGTGCGAGTCTATGGGTCTCTGTGCGAGTCTGTGGGTCTCTGCGTGAGTCTGTGGGTCTCTGCGTGAGTCTATGGGTCTCTATGTGAGTCTATGGTGCTCTGTGTGAGTCTATGGGTCTCTGTGCGAGTCTATGGGTCTCTGCGTGAGTCTGTGGGTCTCTGCGTGAGTCTATGGGTCTCTATGCGAGTCTATGGGTCTTTGTTTGTAGGTCCTCTATGTAAGTCTATGGGTCTTTATGTGAGTTTATGGGTCTCTGTGTGAGTCTATGGGTCTCTTTGTAAGTCTATGGGTCTCTGTGTGAGTCTATGGGTCTCTATGCGAGTCTATGGGTGTTTGTTTGTAGGTCCTCTATGTGAGTCTATGAGTCTCTATGCAAGTCTACGGGTCTCTCTGATTCTGATTCTGGCTACGCCACACCACGCGCCAAATCACCGCGTGGCGCTTCTGGGCGTGCTACTTCTGCGGCCGTCTGGAACGCTCTTCCCTTCCGATATTCGGAAGCCACTGGGAGCCATGATGCTTCTTTTACATCATCATCATCCAGATTGACAAACTCATCTCTTTAGAACTGCTGCTTGTGTTTAGTTCGTTGTCTTTCACGCCAAACCTCCGATGGGCGCGTTTGTCGACATGCGGTGGCGCTAAAGAGGTTCAACGTACATAGGAGGGTTGATGGATCAAAGACAAAGCTCCCCCGCATAGCCTTCACAGGCTGTTGTGGCAAGTGTTGTGAGCGAGTAGCACTTATGAAGGCCGGCACGGCACATGAGGGGGTGGGTGGCCAGCACCACGCCAGGCCGCCTTTGTCTCTCCGGTGGCGAAATTCTACACGCGGCCACATCAGGTTACTAATTTGAGGCCGAGTCGACCTAGGGGAAGCCCAGGAGCGGATTCAGATAATCGTCACTGGCGATGGTGGTGGCCGTGAGCGGCAAACTGAACTCTGGTCGCAGGGTTCGTAGAATCATTGCGCCAACCACTGCACCACGTGGGCAGACAAAGGTCCCCCGTATAGCCTGTGACAGAGTGTTGGGGCAAGTGCTGTGTAGCGGGGAGCAGCGCCAATGAAGGCCGCCAATGAAGGCCGGCACGGCGCGCGAGGGGGTGGGTGGCCAGCACCCCGCCCAGGCCGTCTTTGTCTCACCCAGCGGCGATGTTTCTGCACACCGCCGTTTGACGCTGAGTCGACCTAGGGGAGTCCCGGCAGCTGTTGTTGGATGGCCGTGGGGGGGGGGGGGGCGAATCAAAGTCGGGTCGCCGAGCTCGTAGCGAGACAGCCAACGCAGGGGCTTTGTGAACCCGGCGACCTGAGGTTAAGTTTATATTGGCACTTAAAATGCCTTCAACTGTCAGCTCGTGTTGCAGACTGAATATATGGGCAATAACGGAAACAAACTGACGGGATAACAACGATAAAATACAAACACTAGCCTAGGCAATGTAAGGGATATTGCAATGTTGCGGGGTGTCGTGAAACTAGCAGAGATCTTTGTGTCTCTGTGTGAGTCTATGGGTCTTTCAGGGAGTCTATGGTTCTCTTAGTGAGTCTATGTGTCTTTGTGTGAGTCTATGGGTCTCTGTGTGAGTCTATGGGTCTCTGTGTGAGTCTATGTGTCTCTGTGTGAGTCTATGTATCTCTGTGTGAGTCTGTGGGTCTCTGTGTGAGTCTGTGGGTCTCTGTGTGAGTCTGTGGGTCTCTGAGTGAGTCTGTGGGTCTCTGTGTGAGTCTATGTGTCTCTGTGTGAGTCTATGGGTCTCTGTGTGAGTTTATGTGTCTCTTAGTGAGTCTATGTGTCTCTGTGTGAGTCTATGTGTCTCTGTGTGAGTCTATGTGTCTCTTAGTGAGTCTATGTGTCTCTGTGTGAGTCTACGGGTTTCTGTGTGCGTCTATGGGTCTCTGTGTGAGTCTATCGGTCTGTCAGGGAGTCTATGTGTCTCTGTGTGAGTCTGTGGGTCTCTGAGTGAGTCTATGTGTCTCTGTGTGAGTCTATGTGTCTCTGTGTGAGTCTATGGGTCTCTGTCTGAGTCTATGGCTCTCTCAGGGAGTCTCTGTGTCTCTGTGTGAGTCTATGTGTCTCTGTGTGAGTCTATGGCTCTCTGTGTGAGTCTATGGTTCTCTTAGTGAGTCTAGGGGTGTCTGTGTGAGTCTATGTGTCTCTGTGTGAGTCTGTGGGTCTCTGTGTGAGTCTATGGCTCTCTGTGTGAGTCTATGGCTCTCTCTGTGAGTCTATGTCTATCTGCGTGAGTATATGGGTCTCAATATGATGAGTCTGTGGGGAACTATGTTAGTCTATGGCTCTCTATGCAAGTTTACGAAACTCTGTGTGATGAGTCTATGGGTCTCTGTGTGAGTCTATGGGTCTCTGTGTGAGAACCATAGGCTCACTCACGCAAATATCCATAGACTCACACAGAGACCCGTAGACTCACACAGGAACACAAAGATGCACACAGAGATCCGTAGACTCACTGCACAGACACCTATAGACTCACCACACAGAGACCCATATACTCATCAAACAAAGACCCATAGACTCATCACACAGATATCTATAGACTCATGCACAGATCTATATACTCATACAGAGACCCATAGACTCCCACAGAGACCCATAGACTTCCACAGGGACACAGACTCACACGGAGATACATAGACTCATACAGAGACCCATATACTCTCACAGAGACCCATAAACTCACACAAAGACCCATAAACTCTCACAGAGAGCCATAGACTCACACAGAGACCCATAGACTCACACAGAGAGTCATAGACTCACACAGAGACCCATACACTCACACAGAGAGCCATAGACTCACACAGAGGGCCATAGACTCACACAGAGAGCCATAGACTCACACAGAGGGCCATGGACTCACACAGAGAGCCATAGACTCATACAAAGACCCATAGACTCACACAGAGAGCCATAGACTCACACAGAGGGCCATGGACTCACACAGAGAGCCATAGACTCACACAGAGAGCCATAGATTCACACAGAGAGCCATAGACTCACATAGAGAGCCATAGACTCACCTTACCTCCAAGATTTAAACCCGGTACTCAAATGCAACAAAGGAGTTCACGATCTCAGCCCGTTCACCAATGACTGCACACAACACACAAAACACACAACTCACACACAACACACACGCAACGCACACAACCCACACAACACACACACAACACACACACAACACACACAACTCACACAACACACACACAGCTCACACACACAACACACACAACACACTCACAACATACACACAACTCACACACAACACACACACAACACATACACAGGCGGTGTAAGTGTTGAGGTGCAATCCACGACTCCGAGGCAGGTTGCTGTTAGGGGCTCACGGCACGTTTATTTAAGGGCTTTCGCCAAGTTGTTCAGGGCTTACGCGAGGTGGATAAGGCTTATGCCGAACCAACACCCCCCTAGCCAATAACTCCCCCAGGGGACAGGGGACTGTGATCCCTTCACCACAGTTAGCCCGGCTCTCCACCCTGCCCTGGCCCGGAGACCACCCCCAACCTCGGCCGGTCGGGTGGCGTAGCCTCCCGTAGCCTCGTGTGTGGATCACCTACCCAGAGTCCCCACTCCCACCCCCGACGAACCCTGCTTCCATCCCGGGTCCCCCTTTAAATACCCCCCTGGGGGCTTGATGTCACCGTCCTCCACGGCCCGCCTGACGTCACGTCCCGCGACGCCACTCTCTCCGAGGGCGAGCGTGACGTGATGTCACCCACGTGACGTGATGTCACCCACTACTCCTCTACATCAGTATTGAACACCACACGTGGCCATTGTCTCGGCCTCGCTGTGCGCTGCGTTGCACCGCTAGCTGAGTAGATAACCTCGCGTCCAATAAACCCTCGGAGCCAGGGTGAACATCCGACTCCAAACGTCATTTATTGGTTTTAACGAGGTAACACTGGTGAGAAAACACAGATACATCATCTGTTATAACCCGGAAACACCAACACAATGAATGATACCACAGCATCATAAAATTGTCTTAGATAACATGTTTCTCAACAATAGACCCTGGAGGGGGCAGGCACCTGCATTACCACTGAACAACTATACAAGAGCATAAGCTGCTGTGTTACATAAGGCACACCGTGTAATCATCACACTGCACCCCAGATGCACAGTACTACACATAACACTGCACTATGAATGAGACATTTTGTCATCCTTGCTCTCCAGATCGCAATAAAGTTACTTGGGTACAAGTCTGACTCGACTTATTAGATTACAAGTAACATTCACAATAAGGAAAGTTGCAGGCTTCGTTGTTAACTAGGCCTCGTATTTATCATAACAATTTAACAGCATTATAAAGGCATTTACATCCTTATAACGGTCATTCTAACATTATAACAGCATTGCCAATATTATAAGAACATAAACGAACTTACAGACAATGATTCTTAAGGTCCCACAATGGACAATTGCGGCTGGCTTCTCTGGGACGCGATGTGTGCCGCCATCTTGAATTATGTGTGTAATGGCCGACGCCCGCGTGGTTGAGCGGGAATCTTAAATCGCAACTTCCTGGTCACGTGACCAAAATTAGCATCAATAACAGGAAATTCCTGTGTACATACGCCCCCCCCTCCATCTGCTGTGAGGTAAACCTCCTGCCGTGAGGCAGAACAGCCATTCACGCTCTCGGTGCAAGAGCAGCAGCAGCAGCAGCGACACTTCATGAAGTGTGGTTGTTGCCCGCGTTGTGTTGTTGTTGTGTGTCCTTGTTATGTATAGTTGCGTAACGTTGCTGTGTATCGCTGTTGTGTGTCGTTGTGTATTGTTCGTGTGTATCGGTGGTGTGTCATTGTGTATTGTTGATGTGTATCTTGCATCGCTGTGTGTGTCGTTGTGTATCGTTGTTGTGTATCATTACGCTACCTTTGGCCTCTTAACTGCTGTGCATCAGACGCGCTTCTACGCATTTACGATGTTTGTTGTTTTAGTGAGCGGGGTCGAGATAATGTTCACGACGCGTTATCCACGTGCGTGGACGCTCACTTACGCACGTGCGCACCTACAAACAAAATGAGGGTACCCCAATGGGTTCTGCCTTATCGCCAGTGGTAGCGAATTTTTTTCATGGAAAAATTTGAGACAGATGCCATCCAGACATCCACCCTACGTCCTTCCTTGTGGAAGAGACACGTAGATGACACGTTTCTCATCTGGCCACATGGCCTGCCAGCACTGAACCAATTTCTCAATGACATCAATTCCGTACACCCATCTATCAAATTCACCATGGAAGTGGAAAAGGATGGCACGCTACCATTCCTGGATGTTTTGATGGAGAAGAGACCTGATGGCTCGTTGGGACATTCGGTCTACAGGAAAGCCACCCACATGGATGCCTACCTAAAGCCTGACTCCCACCACCATCCAGCCCAGAAGAATTCCCTCATCAAAACCCTACACCATAGGGCCCGTTGCATCTCCGACCAGCAACACCTAGCCAGTGAGTTGGAGCACATACACCAAGCCCTCAGGATGAATGGATACTCGGACCATACAATCTGCAAAGCTGTCTCCCCAGCCATGCAGAGACAACCTTCTGAGGATCCAACCAATACCATCACTTTTACCGTACATAGCAGGGGTTACCAAAAATATTTCCAAAATCTTAAACAAACACAAGATCCAGGTTCGTTTCAACACAATACACAAACTCCGTGATTTAATCCCATCTGTAAAGGATGTGATTCCTGATATCAACATCATGCTAATCTCTCACATTGACATCATGCTAATCTCTCACATTAACATGCTAATCTCTCACATTAACATGCTAATCTCTCACATTAACATAGACACTTCCGTGCCCTGGTCGAGGAGGCCGCTCTCCTATCTTACAGCTACATGCTAATCTCTCACATTCACATCACTAGCCCCGGCCACTTCTTTATGACCCTTGGGCTACACCCATTTCAAACCTTTTTAAAACAGTCTGCATCAGCAGCAGATCATGTTTTTGGACCTTCCACTGCAACCAGGACCATCTCCAGTCGTCTTGACTACGTCTTGCCACTGAGTACAGATGGGGCTGGTCGAGAGAGTGAGGTTGACGCTGCGCAAATCACCCTCGCTTAAATCCAAGTTCTCTGCGCAAGTCTAGGCACGTTTTTTACCATCGTCATTATCCAAGTCCTGTGGCGGTGGGCGAGCGACGAAGCAGCAGGCTCGGGTATGCTGGAAGCTGTTGCTGCTGCTGCTGTTGCTGCTGCTGCTGCTACTGCTGTTGCTGCTGCGAGGATGACGAGCGGAGGAGTTCCGCGTGGAGATGGCTGGAAGCTCCTTTTGCTGACGAGACCAGCGGCGAGGTGCCGCAAGGTCCATTCGTGGCCCAGCCAACTTTGTGCGTGATGAGTGCGCAGAGGTCGCAACTGGGTACCCGATACCCGTACCCTACCCGATACCCGTACCCTACCCGATACCCGTACCCGGCCGGGTACGGGTAGCCGTTTGCGACCCTGGTGCAGACGGTTAGGGGTAGGCCGTGAGACACTGGTGAGTAACTGTTTGTCACTCATTTCCCAACGTCTTGTCTCTTCTCACAATTCAAGTTCCTAGAATCAACCCACCCGCGCTTGCAACATGGCTTCATCCCAGAGGTCGCAATCGGGTACTCGTACCCGTACCCTACCCTATACCCGGCCGGGTACGGGTAGCCGGGTATCGGGTAAGGTATGGGTACCCGTTTTCGACCCTGGTGCGGCCGGGTACGGGTATGGGTAAGGTATCAAAACCAGTTTGCGAGCTCTGCGAGTGTGACGGCCTTGACAACTCACCCCCGTTCCCGTGCAGGTCACGTTGGTGCTGCTCTTCGTGGCCGCGGTGGCGGCACTGGGCATCACCCTGTCGGAGGACTTCGGGCCGATGTGCGACCCAAAGCCGTGCGACGTCTCGGCCCCCATGCTCTACGTGAACCCGTGCCTCTACATGCTCACCTGGGTGAGTTTGGGGGTGGGCAAGCACCCACACCATACCCCGTGTGGTTACTGTCAGTGGTGCTGTTACTTCAGCACCCACCTGGGCTCATGGGCTCGCTCAGAGACCCACAGACTCGCATAGAGACCCCCTATCACTAACCCTACACCTATCACTAACCCTACCCATATCACTACCCCTACCCCTATCACTACCCCAACCCCTATCACTACCCCAACCCCAATCACTACTCCAACCCCTATCACTACCCCAACCCCTATCACTACCCCAACCCCAATCACTACTCCTACCCCTATCACTACCCCAACCCCTATCATTACCCCTATCACTACCCCAACCCCTATCACTACCCCAACCCCTATCACTTCCCCAACCCCTATCACTACCCCTCTCTATCACTACCCCAACCCATTTTAAGCCAGTATGAAAATGACAAAATATATGTACTAATATATATCTATGGGACCTTTTTGCCAGCATCGAAAATGATGAAAAACGAAGAATATATTTCAATGCAAGTATCAGAACACTTACAGTTGGCAAGAACGCATCCCATAGATATAACTGATATGAGTGTTCCAATACTGGCATTGTCTTTGAACTAGTCGCTATTCAGCGTTGTTTTCTGGCCTAGCACCGGTGGTGTGAGACTAGGCCAGTGTCAAATATTGCGTACACTACACTCTACACTACATACAACTTAAACAATGAAAAGTACTGCACGTATATATATAGAGACATGCGTCAGCCCATGCATATTGTAGTAGTAAGTACGGTACAGTTATTATGGTAACTTCATACAGTCGGATATTCATTGTTGTCTATCCGTATGTTTATGACAATTTCATATCGCAAACACGTTTAAAACACACGCAAAAAAAACATATACACAACACCGAAAACAATGTCAAAATGTGCAAAACAAATAAGCTATTTTAAAGAATCACTCACTAGCTTACATACCCGGCGTTGCCCGGGCCAATTTTTTTTTCTCAAAACTACTCTTAAAAATGTAACAGCAGTGCGTACTGACTGTGGAGGTACCTGCTATGATTACAGCAGTGCATACCGACTGTGGTGCTATCACTACAGTAGTACATGCTGACTCTATAGCAGTATTTATCGACTCTATAGCACAAAGTACTTACCTGACAGAGTGGCGTGGTGAGGCCTAGTCCCGTGCAGAGCCTCTGGCCTCGCCTAGATTGTCCAGCCGGCCGAGGTGGCACCTTGGCAGGTTGGGCTGCTACCACTGACCCCCCCCCCCCCAACCATGATCTCTTCGGCCGCTCTGCAGTAATATCTACGGCCTATAGTGGTAGCATCTACCGACTGTATAGTAGTAACTGCACGCATCGGGGTGGGGGGGGGGGACATCACACAGTGAAGCATTAATGTCAGCGTTTAGTGTATTTTTATAGCATTTTTAACACGAAAGAAAACGTCCCCCTCACTCCCACCGAAGGCGTGCGACTTGGCATGGGCCGTCCCCCCCACCAAAGGCGCGTGAGTTGGTGCGGTCGTGCACAGCGTCATAAGTAAACAATTAAATAATTAAATGGAAAGCGCACAAAAATCGCACTAAATCGCTGATTAATCTAATTTAAATTTGACGGATGTGAAAAAGGAAAAGCGCTTGCTCACCGCGGAGCTCACGGCGTGGTACCTTTTTAAATCCTTTATATTAAGTTCGCGTGCTTGCTTGCTTGCTTACGACCGTGCAAATCTTTCGCTCGTTTTTTAACCCACTTGCCGTGATCCAATCGAGCTGACATTTTCCACACAGACTCGTTGTGTGTGACAATTAATTTTCGTGAATTTTTTTTTTCCAAAATTTTACACTGTTTAGGGAAAATAAATTAAATATTTAATTACCAATTGCTTAATACTGGCAGACAATCATCTGACCCATAGATTGCAGCCATCTCAAGCCAGAGGACGAGAGAACTCTAGCCGCCACGCATATAAAGGATTTAGAGTGAAAAACTTTGTTTTTACGGGTTTACTTATTTTAAATCCTTATTATTAAGTTTGCGTGCTTGCGTGCTTGCTTGCTTAGGACCGTGCAAATCTTTCGGTCGTTTTTTAACCCACTTCCGGTGATCCAATCGAGCTGACATTTTCCACACAGACTCGTTGTGCCAGACAATTATTGTTCGTGAAAAAAAATTCCCAAAATTTTACACTTTTTAGGCAAAAAAAAATTATTTTACATATATTCAAATAGAACGCATTCATGGCTTTGGCTGAACGTCAGAGTGTAAGAGCCCAGAGCGTAACCCCTCCACAGGCCGTGGTGGAGTAGCGCAGTTGGTAGCACCCTCGCTTCCCATGCCAAAGGTCGTGGGATCGATCCCCGCGTCCTCCACAGGCGAATATATTTTTAAATCCTTTATATTAAGTTCGCCGCCACGCATATAAAGGATTTATAGTGAAAAACTTAGTTTTTACGGGTTTACTTGTTTAGCGTGAACTCCACTGTTGGAGAGTTAAATCATTCGCAAGTGCGCGAACACACACAAAGTCAGACACAAACCCACAAACAGACAATATTTTACTTTTTTTAATAGATGATTTAGTGATTATCCGGCGTTTTTGAAAATCCAGCATCCCCTGCCCCCGAAGCGACCGGATAATAATATAATCGATGATAATCGATGGTAATCGATTATTATTAGTATCCAATCACGTTTGATTGCATAGTTCTTGTGCTGTTCGCCTTTTGGGGCGTTGTTCTCCGGTCTAACACCGGCGGCGCAGACAGACAAGGCCATGGCAGAGGTTGTCCGTCTCTCTGGTGACTGATCGGCCCATTGTCGTTGTGTTCCCACTTAGGAGCCGTTCGGCTTACGAGCGGCTCTCAGGAACGAATTCCGTTGGTAACCCGAGGACTGCCCGCACACCGCGGTGGCTAGGAGATGTTAACTACCTCGTCTGGTACGCAGGAGGTCGTGGGTTCGATCCCGACTGACGTTGCCTGCTGTTGTATATTTGGAGTCTGCGTCTCTCTCTCTCCCCATGGCCGCGTGGAGTTTTGTCTCCGGGTTCTCCGGTTTATCCCCACCACAACTAGAATCAACGTCACCGCGCGTTCAGAGTTGTTTGGCTGCCGCTGTACACTTCCACGCGGCGATGATGTTGATGATAATAAGCAACATTGTCGAGCCGCGATTGTGGGTCAGGTCGCTTCTCAAAAACAGCTACATAGCTCAGTGGGAGCTGACCTGGTAGAATCATGAAAACTCATAGTTAGTACGATACCGAAGCACGCTTGCATGCATGTTTTTACCACACGCTTGATGATGTGTGGTTCACGTGGACTCGATGATGCCTTGCGACAACGGGTACTGCGTGTGCCTCTTTGGGTCGTTTGAACTTCTTGACACCTTCTGTATGTGTTGCCGGATAAGCGGACAGACGATTGTGTTTTCACACAAACACACACCTCTATATACACACACACACCTCTATATATACACAACAACAACTGCCATTCACCACTAAGTGGTGGTGACGTCACCACGACGCTTGTGCCAGGCCATGTGCACCTTGAGGCCACGTGAAGTGTTGAACGCACGCTGGCAGGAGGTCACGGGGCAGACCCAGCAGGTGCCACAGGTCGACTGACTGAGATGACTGAGATGACCGAGATGACTGGCTGATGCACCACCTGTGCCCCCTACTGTGCCAACTTGCTGTGCTTTAGCCACCCGGCGCTCCGCTCGTTGGTGGTAGCGTCGCTCCTTCGCCCTCCGTTGTTGTTGGAGGGCGACTGCCTCCAACTGCCCAGTAGCGGGATCACGAGCCTCCTCCACAGAGGCCGATCTTGACACCACTGGAACCAGTCATTGGCAAGTCCACTCAGTTCCACGTCCTCCTGTACCACATCACTCCATCTCTTCTCTAACCCGTGCCGCACCCGTTTATCCCCCTCGATCCGGCCAAACAAAAGCTGTTTGGGCATGCGGTGATTGGGCATGCGGGCTACATGGCCCAGCCAACGCAACCTTGCCTGCTGGAGGAGCTCACCGATGGGACTAAGTCCAGCTCTTTCGAGGATTTGTGAGCTTCCCACACAATCCAGCCTGGTTAAACCCAAGATGGATCGTAGGCAGGCCAGTCTAAATGTTTCTAACCACCGGAGATGTTCTATTAGGGGGGTCCACGTTTCGCAGCGTAGATAAGGGAGGGAATGACTGTGGCCGAGAAGACCTGAAGCTTCGTGCGGAGCGACAGTCCAGGTTGCTACCACACAACGCTACGCAACCGATGAAAAGATAATGCCGCTCGACTGATTCGGAGTGAGACCTCTGCTGTTAGACCAGAGCCGGTCATAAGCAAACTGCCCAGGTATGGGAAACACTCCACTCTCTCCACAACTGTCCCATCACCAATTGGGAGTTGTGGGGGTGGAGTGTCTGATGGTACAAAATACCCAGGCAGGTGCGTAGTTTTGGTGGGGCTGATGGTAAGGCCCCACCTCTTAGTGGCATGCTCCAGTTTCAGCAGCAGCGTCTTCAACTCCTCCTCTGAGTGAGCAGCTATTACCAAATCATCGGCATACATAATGTGGTTGACCAATAGGGAGCCATCCCTCGACTGCACCCGGGCATCGATCAGCCTCCCATTATATATGTACCAGATGGAGATTCCGCCGGTACAGCTACTGAATGCTTCACGAACTCCGTGCTCGAAATAGATGTTAAATAATGTTGGAACCAGAGGACATCCCTGTTGCACCCCAAGGTCAACAGGGAATGGTTCTGACTCCTGGCCCCGTAGTTTTAAACGGGCCCGCTCACCATCATGAAGGTCCTTAATGATCGTGAGCAGAGGGTCAGGGACTCCGAAAGTACGAAGAACAACCAAGAGCCCAGGCCTACTGATGGTATCCTAGGCTTTGACCAGGTCAATAAAGCAGAGATGTAGGTCTTGTTGGAATTCCCTACACATCTGCTGTAGCAGACGGACAGCAAATATGGCATCTGTGCAGGACCGCCCTTTCCTGAAACCGCATTGGGGCTCCGCAAGCCTCTCCTCAGCGTGCCTAGCAAAGCGATGTTGAATAATCCTTGCCAGGACCTTTCCCGGCACACTGAGGAGTGAGATGCCCCTGTAGTTGTTACAGTCTGTGCGGTCCCCCTTCTTAAAGAGGGGGACCACCAGGACAATCTTCTAATCCTGCGAAACCTGTCCAGTAGTCCAGACTGTTGTTATGATGTCATGTAGGGCAGTCGGTGCACAAACGCCACCCTCCCTCAGCATGTCGCTTGGGAGATCATCTCTGCCCGGGACCTTTCCTGGTCTCAGACTCTGGATCGCCTTCAATACTTCCTCAACAGATGGCACCTCAGCCAGCCACTCACAGGGGGTGACTTCTTCCCATATTTGAGGCACCGCAGCCTCAGCAGGGTCATCCCCACTTTGTGGCACAATGTTTTCCTGGATGAGGGATTTCCCCTCTCCCAGGACCTCACAGAAATGCTCAGCAAATCGGCAAATCTGTTCCTGGGGGTCGGAGATTGGATCACCGTTTTTTCCCCTAATGATGGTAATAGGTGTGGTGCTGCAGGTTACTTTTTTGATGGAGTTAAATAGTGATTTGTGATCGCGGGCCACTGAGGCAGATTCCACCTCCTCAGCAACCCGCGACCACCACCCATCCTTGCAGCGCCTCACGGCTCTCCGATCCTCCGAGCGAAGGCTGCGGTAAACCTCCTCATTCTGTGATGTGGGATGCTGTAGCCGATGAGAGTGGGCCTGTCGCTTTTTCTCAACTATCCTGAACACCTCCTTTGTCAGCCAGGGTCTCTGGGGAGATCTGGACCGCGTACCCAAAGCAGCCATTGCAGCTGCATGAGCCACAGTCCTAAACCTCGCCCATTTACCCTCGACATGGGGGGGTAATGCAAATCCCAGCTGCAAGCGATGATTAAATTCTTGCTTGCAACTTTCATCAGCTGAGACCATGCCACTTTAGGTTGGAATAGGGTCCTGGGTGTACACCCACCACCGGAGTGGAAGAATGGCAGGCGCATCTTACAGATGACTAGTCGATGGTCAGTGGGCAGATCAGCTCCACGGTAGGTCCTGGTGTCAAGGACATGGGCTCGCATCCGCTGGTTCGTCACAATGTAGTCCAGCAGATGTTCTTGCTTGGACTCGGCATGCATCCATGATGTTGTGTGGATGCGCCGATGCCGGAAGAGCGTGTTGGTAATTACAAGCCCATGGGCTGCACAACAATTCTAACAGCCTCCTACTGTTGTTATTGAGCTGATCTGGCCCATGCCTTCCAATCACTCCAGACCAGGTAGCAGCATCATGTCCAACTCAAGTATTTAAGTCACCGAACAAGATGACTCTATCCCGAGAGGCCACATTAGCCAGCACCTGTGACCAGAGGTCATAGACGGCATCTGACTCATCGGCTTTGCCTGCATCCCTCCACGGATGTTCGTCTTCGGTGGGGGCATAAGTAACCACGACTACCACTCCTCGCCTCCGGTTGATGGGAAGGCGAGCCCAAAGTAGCCTGGGGCTTACAGCTTCCCACACCTCACCGCCACGCTCCCACGCCCCCATTCATTCTTTTGTTCAGAAGAATAGCCACACACTGTTGTTTGTCAGTCTCCTGCCCCGAGTAGAGTACTGTCCACCCCTCATGGTGGCAGGAGCCAGAGTCGGTCCACCAGACCTCCTGAATGCCCAGATCCAGGCGGGGAGTGGCAGCCTCTCCTCCACAGTGAGCGTTCGAACATTCCACGTGGCCACACGAAGTGGCTTTTTGTTGTTTCTGGAGGAGCCCCGAGTGTAAAGATTGAATCTCCTGGCTCCGCCAAATGGGGTTTGGCCAGGAGACGTCATAGACGCCTGTCCCCCCGGGGCCTCCGGCAGAAGCTTATTAGTTACATATTTAATTCGTGGTTTAGTGGTAATTTATTGAAGGTGGAGGGGTTACCAGCCCTTCGCACCCGTCCAGAGCCCCAGTTTAGCCACTGTGCTGGTCACAGACGCCATGAGGTGATAAGCCAATCGGAATTAGCCCTCCGTCCACAGCACTGTCCACGACAGAGTTGCCCGTCCGGCACACACCTCTCTATACACACACACACCTCTATACACACAAACCTCTATACACACACACATTGTATAAAGTAAGATGTTGACTCACCCGCCCACCTTGTCCGTTGGTGTGTACTCTGCGTGTTGTTGTGTCCCATGTGTTGAGTTGTTTACCCTGTGTTGTTGTGTTGTTGTTGTTTACCCTGTGTGTTGTGTGTACCCTGTGTGTTGTGTCGCCAGCTGCTTCTGCTGGTGCTGGGCGAGGTGGCGCGTCGCCGTGGTGGTGGCGGCGGTGGCGGCGGTGGCCTCCTCTTCCTCTTCTGGCTGCTGCTCGTCCTGTGCGGGGCGCTGCCCCTGCAGACGCTGGTGCGGCAGCTCCTGGCGGGGGTGAGTGGCTGGTGTGGCTGGACCCCATGGGGTGAGTGGCTGGTGTGGCTTGACCTCACGAGGGGTGAGTGGCTGGTGTGGATGACCCCACGAGGGGTGAGTGGCTGGTGTGGATGACCCACCATGGGGTGAGTGGCTGGTGTGGCTGGGCACCCATGGGGTGAGTGGTTGGTGTGGCTGGACCCATGGGGTGAGTGGCTGGTGTGGTTGGCCCCCATGGGGTGAGTGGTTGGTGTGGCTGGACCCCATGGGGTGAGTGGCTGGTGTGGCTGGCCCCCATGGGGTGAGTGGCTGGTGTGGCTGGGCCCCATGAGGTGAGTGGCTGGTGTGGCTGGGCCACGATGGGTGAGTGGTTGGTGTGGTTGACCCCACGAGGGGTGAGTGGCTGGTGTGGCTGGGCACCCATGGGGTGAGTGGTTGGTGTGGCTGGCCCCCATGGGGTCAGTGGTTGATGTGGTTTGACCCCCCATGGGGTGAGTGGTTGATGTGGTTCCAACTCGATGGGGTAAGTTAACGCGTTTCTATTGATCACGTTCTCATGATCATGTAGGTATTGATCACATTGTAGGTATTGATCACGTTGTAGGTATTGATCACGTTGTAGGTATTGCTCGCGACATTGATCATGTTGTTATTGATCACGTGCTATGCCTTCATCATAATGTTATTGATCATAACGTTATTACGTAGTTGTTGATCGGTGTTATGATCACCGCACGGTTATTTCTTATTTTATTGATCGCATAGTTATTGAACATATTGCTGTTATTGTTCACTTAGTTATCTATCGCGCAGTCCTTGATCACGTTGTAGTTATTTATCGCGTTATTGATCGCGTAGTTAATGATTACGTTGTATTTATTGACGTCATTATTGATCGCTTAGTTGTTGCTGTTGTTGTAGTTATTGATCACGTGGTTGTTGTTGTTGTTGTTTGTGGCTGTGCGGCAGGTCGCTGGCGGCGGGGAGCGCCACTGGGTCTTCTTCGTCTCCTTCGGCCTCCAGGTCCACGCCCTCGTCCTGTTGGCCTTCGCCGACTCGGCCAGCGAGCCCGAGGAGACCAAGCCCTGCCAATTTGTACGAGCGCTGGGTGGTGGTGGCGGTGGTGGTGGTGATGGTGGTGGTGGTGATGGTGGTGGTGACGGTGATGGTGGTGGTGACGGTGGTGATGGTTGGTGGTGGTGACAGTGGTGGTGGTGGTGACGGTGGTGGTGGTGGTGATGGTGACAATGGTGGCGGTGATGGTGGTGGTGGTGGTGACGGTGGTGGTGGTGACGGTGGTCGTGGTGGTGATGGTGACAATGGTGGCGGTGATGGTGGTGGTGGTGATGGTGACGGTGGTGGTGATGTTGGCGGTGGTGATGGTGGTGGTGGTGATGGTGACGGTGGTGGTGACGGTGGTGGTGGTGGTGGCGGTGGTGGTGGTGACGGTGGTGGTGACGGTGGTGGTGACGGTGGTGGTGGTGGCGGTGGTAGCGGTAGTGGTGTGACGGTGGTGGTGGTGATGGCGGTGGTGGTGGTGACGGTGGTGGTGATGGTGACGGTGGTGGCGGTGGTGGTGGTGGTGGGGGGGTGGTGACGGTGGTGGCAGTGGTGGTGTGGCAGTGGTGTGGTGGTGGTGTGGTGGCGGTAGCACCGGGCAGAGATGATCTCCCAAGCGAAATGCTGAGGGAGTGTGGCGTTTGTACACAGACTGCCCTACATGAGATCATAACAACAGTCTGGGCCACTGGACAGGTTCCGCAGGATGGGAAGGATGCCCTGGTGGTCCCCCTCTTTAACAAGAGGGACCGTTCCGACTGTAACAACTACAGGGGCATCTCACTCCTCAGTGTGCCGGTTAAGGTCCTGGCAAGGATTATTCAACATCGCCTTGCTAGGCACGCTGAGGAGAGGCTTGCGGAGCCCCAATGCGGTTTCAGGAAAGGGCGGTCCTGCACAGATGCCATATTTTCTGTCCGTCTGCTATAGCAGAAGTGTAGCGAATTCTAACAAAATCTACATCTCTGCTTTATTGACCTGGTCAAGACCTATGACACCATCAGTAGGCCTGGACTCTGGGTTATTCTTCGTGCTTTCGGAGTGCCTTACCCGCTGCTCACGATCATTAAGAACCTTCATGATGGTGAGCGGGCCCGGGTAAAACTACGTGGCCGGTAGTCGGAGCCATTCCCTGTACACCTTGGGGTGCGACAGGGATGTCCTCTGGCTCCCACATTATTTAACATCTATTTCGACCACGTAGTTCGCGATGCCTTTGATGGCTGTATCGGAGGAATTTCCATCTGGTACAGATACAATGGGAGGCTGATCGAATGGCTCCCTATTGCTAAACCATGTTATGTATGCCGATGATCTGGTAATTGCCGCTCACTCCGAGGAGGAGTTGGAGGCACTGCTGCTGAACCTGGATCGTGCCACTAAGAGGTGGGGAATTACCATCAGCCCCACCAAAACTAAGCACCTGCCCGGGTATTTTGTACCATCGGGCACTCCACCCCCACAACACCCAATTGGTGATGGGGCAGTTGTGGAGAGAGTGGAGAGTTTCCAATACCTGGGCAGTGTGCTAATGACCGGCTCCGGTTTGACAGCAGAGGTCTCACTCCAAATCAGTCGAGTGGCATTATCTTTTCATCAGTTGCGTAACGCTGTGTGGAAGCTACCTGGTCTGACGCTCCGCACGAAGCTTCAGGTCTTCTCGGCCATGGTCATTCCTTCCCTTCTCTGCGCTTGCAAAACGTGGACCCCCCTAATTGTACATCTTCGCCGGTTAGAAACATTTAGGCTGGGCTGCCTACGATCCATTCTGGGTTTAACCAGGCTGGATTGTGTGAGGAGCTCAAAAATCCTTGAAAAATCTGGACAAAGTCCCATTGGTGAGCTCCTCCGGCGGGCAAGGCTGCGTTGGCTGGGTCTTGTAGCCCCCATGCCCAGTCACCACATGCCTTAACAGCTTTTGTTCCAACGGATAGAGGGGGCTAAACGGGCGCGGCACGGGCTAGAGAAGAAATGGAGTGATGTGGTACAGGAGGACGTGGAGCTGAGTGGACTTGCCGATGACTGGTACCAGCGGTGTCAAGATCGGCCTCAGTGGAGGAGGCTCGTGAAGGACGCTACTGGGCAGTTGGAGGCAGTCGCCCTCCAACAACAATGGGGGGCGGAGGAGCGATGCTCACAACAACGAGCGGAGCGACATGTGGCTAAAGCACAATAAGTTGGCAAAGTAGGAGCCACAGGTTATGCATCAGCCAGTCATCTCAGTCATCTCAGTCAGTCGACCCGTGGCACCTGGGTCTGCCCCGTAACCTCCTGCCGGCGGGCGTTCGAGACTTCACGTGGCCTCAACGTGCACATAGCCTGGCACAAGCGACGTGGTGACGTCACCACCACTTAGTGGCGGTTGTTGGTGGCGATGGTGGTGGCGGTGGTGGTGTGGAGGTGGTGGCGGTGGTGGCGATGGTGGTGGCGGTGGTGGTGACTATGGTGGTGGCAGTAGTGGTGACGGTGGTGGTGGCAGTGGTGGTGGCGGTGGTGGTGGCGGTAGTTGCAGCGGTGGTGGTGGTAGTGGTGGTGGCTGTGCCGGTGTTGGTGGTGGTGGCGTTGTTGGTGGTGGTAGTGGTGGTGGCTGTGCCGGTGTTGATGGTGGCTGTGCCGGTGTTGTTGGTGGTGGCGTTGTTGGTGGTGGTGGTGGTGGCGGTAAAAGCTGAATGGTTCCTGCAGAAGGCCCCACGTCTGTGCCGTTTCTCTTTTGCAGAAACCGAACCCCACGGCGCGAGCGTCCTTCCTCAACCTCATCACCTTCACCTGGTTTGACAAGTCAGTGCGCCCCGTGCCATTGTCACTCCGTCCGACCACCGACACCAACAACCCCACCACCACCAATAACCCTACCACCAACACCAACACCACCACCACCACCATCACTAACACTACCACCACCACCACCAATAACCCTACCACCAACACCAACACCACCACCACCACCACTAACACTACCACCACCACTACCAATAACCCTACCACCAACACCACCACCACCACTAACCCTACCATCACCACCACCACAACCACCACTAACTCTACCACCACCACCACCACCAATAACCCTACCACCAACACCACCACCAATAACACCACCACCACCAATAACCCTGCCACCAACACCACCACCACCAATAACCCTATCACCAACACCACCACCACTACCAATAACACTACCACCACCAATAACCCTACTACCACCACCACCAATAACCCTACCACCACCACCAACACCACCACCACCAACACCACCAATAACCCTACCACCACCACCACCACCAACACCACCACCACCAATAGCCCTATCACCAACACCACCACCAATAACCCTACCACCACCACCACCACCACCAATAAGCCTACCACCAACACCACCACCAATAACACCACCACCACCAACACTACCACCAATAACACCACCACCAAAAATCCTACCACGAACACCACCACCACCACCAATAACCCTATCACCAACACCACCACCACTACCAATAACACTACCACCACCAATAACACTACCACCACCACCACCAATAACCCTACCACCAACACCACCACCAATAACACCACCACCACCACCAACACTACCACCAATAACACCACCACCACTACGAACCCTACCACCAACACCACCACCAATAACCCTACCACCAACACCACCACCACCACCACCACCACCACCAATAACACCACCACCACCACCAATAACACCACCACCACCAATAGGACAACCACCAATATCACTACCACCACCAACACCACCACCACCACCACCAATAACACCACCACCACCAATAACACCACCACCACCAATAGGACAACCACCAATATCACTACCAATAACACTACCACCACCAATAACCCTACTACCACCACCACCAATACTACTACCACCACCACCACCAATAGGACCACCACCAATACTACTACCACCACCACGACTTGCACCACCAAGGACACTGCCACTCACTTTGCCAGGTGAGACCCCCTGAGCAACGCGGCTGTTTATCAGAACCGACCTGGCTATCGCGAGGGATAGGCAGACGAAGTGTCTTTTCATCATCATCATCGTCGTCATCATCATCATCATCGTCCATAATCAACGTTTTTGGGTCAGATCGCGTTATTTATAAATGTGTCGTAACCCTTCAACGTGACACTTTTTTGCTGATTGGCCGTGTCGGGTGGTGGAGGGTTACGACAGATTTATAAATAACGCGATCTAACCCAAAAACGTTGATTATGAATAATATTGGTTGCGAAAGCCTCCGTGTTAAAACATCATCGTCGTGGTGTGGAAATGTATAATACAACAGGCATCGTCAGGGTCGGGATCGAACCCACAACCTCGTCTGTGCCGGATGACGCTAGCGCGGGGCCTGCAGCATGATGTTATAAAGGAGCCCTAAATAAATAAAAAAACACGCAAATATTAAAACACACATTTGTTTACTTGCACAGTAAAGTAATTGTATTTCTTAATTTTGCTACACACGCCAGATAAACACCCGGTCGTTCGCGAAAGTTTGACGGCGGTATAGTACTATAGTAATAGAGCAAGTGCAGAATCGCTGAACCGTAAATGATAGCTTGAAAGCGTTTAGCGCGGGGACCTTGAAAGTGAGGGGGTCCCGAAGCATTTGTAGCTACTGGCAACTTAACCTCGTGCATACCAGGCGAGGTAGTTAGCATCTTGCCAACATCGCGAGATGTTGACTACCTCGCCTGGTATACAGGAAGTCGTGGGTTGGATTCCGACCATGACGACGCCTGTGTATTTGGAGTTTGCGTGTCTCTCTCTCTCTTCCCGTGGTTGCTTGGATTTTCCTCCAGGTCCTCCGGTTTTCCCCTCCACATTTAAAATCAACATGAGGCAATTCGACAATTTGGGCTACCCCTATGAGTGTCCACGCGAATGATTACGATGATGAGCCCACTTCGTCGACCTATCGTTTGTGATGGCGAAGTCGATTCTGAAAATGTGTGCGCGTGCGCGTGTGTGTGTGTGGGCTGCGGTAGTGTAGTGGTTAGCGCTACGCTGTGCTACGAACCCGGCGACCCAAGTTCGATTCCCGCTCACGGCCACCAACACCCTTGACTAGTCTTTGAACCGGTCCTGGGTCTCCCCTAGGCACCTGGTGCGGTGTAGTGAACATCGCCACCAGGGAGACAAAGGCGGCCGGGCGTGGTGCTAGCCACCCACCCCCTCGTGTGCCGTGCCGGCCTTCACCTTCATCGAAGCTTGCTAACAGCACTTGCCCCAACAGTTTGTTAAGCCTATACAGGGAATCTTTGTGTTTTGTGCGTGCGTGTTCATGCGTGCACGTATATGCGTGCACGTGCATGTGTGTGTGTGCGTGCCTGCGTGCATGCATGCGTGTGTGTGCGTGTGTGCGTGCGTGTGTGTTTGTGTGCGTGCGTGTGCGTGCATGTTTGTGCGTGCGTGTGTGCGTGTGTGCATGCGTGCGTGCGCCTGCGTGCGTGCGGCCAGGATGGTCTACCGGGGCTACCGGCGCCCGCTGGAGATGAGCGACCTCTGCGAGCTGGACTCGGAGGACGAGGCGGGCCGAGTCATCGGCCAGCTGGGCCGGAGCTGGCGGCGCGAGGAGCGGCGCGGAGCGGCCGCCGCGGGGGTCACCGCCGCTGTGGGGGTCACCGCCGCCGCAGCCACCACCACCGACCTCACCGGCAAGAGCACCGAATTCCTCGTCATGGTGAGCGTGGGGAGGGAGGAGGAGGTGGAGGAGGAGGTGGTGGAGGA